TATGTCCAGACACAATTGATAAATGGGCTACTGTTCACAAATTATCTAGCAGAATCTCTCTTCAAAAACACCTGTATATTTTAATGCAGTCAGAATTTACTGCTTGTCAGGAAGGTGCAGGTATAGCCATGTTTTGTCAATCATAGCCCCAAACCTTTTACTTCAGGTGTTTTTTGTACTGCCTAGAGACATCTGACAACTCATAAAACATAGAAAAGAATTTGTTTGTGGAGGAGGAATGGGGGAAAAGAAAAGGTGACCGAAAATTGTTTATAATTAATCAATAAGACAATATAGCTTCTGTCATGTTGAAACATGAAGATTTGACACCTTTTGAATGCTTAATGATGGAGAATAATGTATTTGCCACAGATTAGTGCTTCTTAATTTTCTTTTGAGGTTCCATAATTATGCCAATGGGGATTATAGGTGAATTGCTATAGTATATCATTTTGATGACATCTAGAATCAATGACCACCAAACTCAGAAGATTAGATACCATGGAATGGAGTAGATTATATTTCTCAAATATAAATATTTATTTGATTTGCTGACAAACATGTATAAAACATTACATTAACAGCATTTACTGCCTCTTCTAAACCTGATTTGGACACCTTTCTTCCAAATTTGAGTTAATGCACCTAGATTTCTAATGACCTAGTCAAGTAAACTAGAATTAATCTACTCTATGTTTACATGTTCCCCTAACCCTAACCCCTAAATATTGAATTAATGATATTTTAATCCAAAAATTATAAGAAAGATTAAGAAAATTAAATACAAAACCTTTTGCAAATTTATAAAATACAAAATCTCTGTAGTGCATGTTCAATAGAAATGTAAATCAAATAAAAGCACTATCCAAGGACATGCCATGTTTCCTTGCAGAAAGGCAAAAATTATTCAAAACAACAGCATAAATCAAGGGAAGAAAGAAAAAAATACAGATAAAATCCAGCAGGTTGTTAAAAACAAATCAGCATTCAGCCAACTGATCAACTTTTAAAGATAAAAAGCAAAGCAAAACAGAGGATTTAAAAAGTTAAAACCCAGGCTTAACAAAATGAATTGATGAGAGGAAGATGTACGCTCAGTGGCTTTCTGACCACTCCCAGAAGGAACTGGAATCTTCAAGATTTCACTTCCCAGATAGGCCCATGCCTATCCAAAAGCTGTCTTGGGTCATTCCTAAGTGCTCCCATTCAAATCTGGAGAAATATTGCCAAAAAAAAAAAAAAAACTTTGGCAGCAAAATCAGCATATCATTGGCAAGAACAAAAAATTCCCTTATCATTCAATAGCCAGCTTGGGAGGAGTAACAATTGCCTATTAATCCTTACTCATATTTCACTGATTTTTTTATATTTTTGTTAAGCTGTTGGAGGAAAACAAAAAGAAACAAAGGCAAAAAAAACAACAAGATATAAAGTGAATAAACAAGGAATATGCAACCATCAAAGAGTTGGGTTACAATTTTCAATATTTCATTTATTAGTTGTATATAACTGATTGAATTATATTATTTAAAAAATATAAATCATTATTAAAATCCAAGTGATATATGAATATCAAAAGCAGTAATCAGCACACTACAAATCATAAAATGAGATTATGAATTACAGCAATTTCTAAGAAGTTGAAAATCTACCTTCAATGTAGCAGATCATTAAAAACAAGAAAATTAAGATTTTATGTGAAGCAATTACAGAATTTTAGAAGTGATACAAGTTCATATATGGAATTATAATTTTAAAATGTTTTCCAAATTAAGTTATATTTTGTATCAGATTTACTTTTCAAATGTAAAGTTATTTTGAACATCAAGATCTACTCCCACAATTTAATTAGCTATTCTTCTGCAGAAGGAACTATGCATGCTTTTCAATCATATGTGTAGACTATTTTTCCAGAAGTTATGTATAATTCTAGTTTTGTATACTTGTGGTGATGTAAGATTTAGTAATATCTAATGTAAAAATAACAGGTTGGAAAGGACATTTTTTGAGTCATTTTTCTTCTCAAAAGTACAATGAAATATAATCTGCTTAAAGTAGGAAGTGTTGGATAATCTACCAGTAATTCCAACTCCTAATCAAATCTAATACATTTTAAAACCAATATGCATTGGTTGCTATCCACATCATCTGTAGATCAAAATTCTTTCAACTTGGTGGCCCCATGTGCTTGTTAGTCTGGTGCTGGGTTAACTCTTCAGGCAATCTCAGCTCAGCTCAAATTAACCAGTAGCCAAGTGCCAAGAACACCACCACTCAACTCTCATTCTTCAGGCTTTAACTTGTTAGTTGCTAATTTAACTCCCCTTCTGGGCAAAGAAGCTTTCCCCTGCTTCATAAAGGAGAAGCAAAAACATTTCCGGCATTCTCCATGCACATGCTCACAGGCAAAAATGAGACAAGGGACATGCCTTTGTCTGCAAGTTTTCTTTCTTTGGTAGTTTTTTATTTATTTGTTTGATTTGATTTGTCAATTGCTGACAAGATAATAGGTATAAGTATAAACATAGTTATGAATACATGGATACATATAAGAAAAATAAAAGAAACAATAGGACAGGAACGGTAGGCACGTTGGTGTACTTATGCACGCCCACTTCAGACCTCTTAGGAAACGGGTGAGGTCAATAGTAGACAGTCTAAGGTTAAAGTTTTTGGGGTTTGGGGAAGAAACCATAGGGTAGTGTATTACAGACATTGACCACTCTGTTGCTGAAGTCGTATTTCCTGCAATCAAGTTTGGTGCGGTTAACCATGAGTTTGTATCTATCGTGTGCTCTTGTATTGTTATGGTTAAAGCTGAAGTATTCATTGACAGGTAGGACATTACCATGTATGATTTTATATACTATACTTAGATCGGACCGAAGGTGGCATAGTTCTAGGTTTTCTAGATCTAGAATTTCAAGTCTGGTGGCGTAAGGTATTCTGCAAGGAGTAGAGGAGTGGAGAACTCTTCTTGTGAAATATTTCTGGACTTTCTCTACTATGTTAATATCAGATACATAGTGTGGATTCCAGACTGATGAGCTGTATTCAAGTATTGGTCTTGCAAATGTTTTGTATGCTCTAGTTAGTAATGTGATACTACCAGAGAAAAAGCTACATAGGATTAGGTTAACAACTCTTAATTCCTTTTTGGCTATGTAGTTACAGTGGGCTCTAGCACTAAGATCATTTGAGATGATACTCCAAGGTCCTTGACAGAGTTTGGGTCATCAGCAAGGTCTTGACTATTCAGCCTGTATTTTATTTTCTGATTTTTTTTGCCAATATGTAAGACAGAGCATTTATTTGTTGAGATTTGAAGTTGCCGTTTGTTTGATCATTCTGATACATAGTCAATATATTTTTGAAAGGTAGCAAAATTATCTGTGGTGTTGAATAGCTTTACATCATCAGTGAAGAGAACACAGTTGCTCTTAATATAATCACAGAGGTCATTTATGTAGAGTATGAAGAGAGTTGGTCCTAGAACACTGCCTTGGGGGACACCACTGTTGACAGGTACAGAATTTGATAGGACGTTCCCAATTTTGACCATTTGTTGTCTGTTTGACAGGAATACTTCTATCCAGTTATGCAGGTGTCCAGAGATATCATAAGATTTTAGTTTTAATAGTAGTTTGTCGTGTACCACTGAATCAAAGACTTTACAGATGTCTATGTAGATTGTGTATATTGTTTTGCCCTGATCGAGTTGTGTAGTCCATATGTTTTTGCAGTGTAAGAGTTGCAGATTACATGATAGTTTTTTTTCTGAAACAAAATTGTTTATTAGAGAGTAGGTTGTTTGTCTCTAAGTGAAGGATAATGGATTGGTTAATAATTGATTCCATGACTTTACAGGTGACGCAGCATAAGGAGATTGGTCTGTAATTTTCAACTAGGCTGGGGTCTCCCTTTTTGAAAATGGGGATGACCGTGGCTTGTGACCATAGGCTTGGCAAGGAGCTGGTCCTGAAAGATTTTTCAAAGATTATGCTTAGAGGTTCGGCTATGGCAGTGGATAGCTTTTTTAAGAAGTAGGCACATATTCCGTCTGGTCCAATAGATAGAGATGGTTTTAGATTGTGTAATGCTTTTTCAACATTGTCTTCTATAAAATCAATATTTATTAGATCATTGTAGTTGTCTGTGGTTTGACTAGGAAATACTGGGCATGATCCATTGCTGTTTACAAATACTGAGTCAAAGAATGTGTTAAAGAGGTTGGCTTTAATAGTGTCGTCATTGCAGTCTTTACCATTAGGTCCTTTCAGGGGTGGGATGGACCTTGAGTCTTTTAGTTGTTTACAAAATTGTAGAAAGCATGGGTGGAATTGGTCCATAGAAGGTTTTCCTCTTGTTTAATGTGATAATTGGTGCATTCAGTTTTTATCTGGTGGCATAAATTTTTGTATTGGCTTTTGAAGTTGACAACGTGACCAGATTTATTTTTCTGCCAAAGTGATCTCTTTTTGGAATGAAGCTTCCTTATTATTATGGGTAATCTGTTTTTTCTGGTTTTGGGAGCTGTTATTGGTTTGATGACTCTCTTGACTTCAAGTAAAAATATGTTGTAATGGTCTTCAACAGTATTGCATCCAGTGAATAGAAATTGCCAATTAAGGGATGAGAGATCGTTGTCTATAAGATCGTAGTTGCCTTTTATGAAGTTATAATTGGGGATGTTCGATGTCATAATCAGGGGCTCTGTAACATAGTAAGAATCGAAATGTGATATTTAAGGACAGTTCACAGACAATGGTCTCAGGAAGAGCAAGCTCCTGGGTAACTTGGAGGTTTTTTAGATGTAAGGACTTTTTATAAAAGATAGCAACAACACTACCTCTACGGACCTTACGATCTGATTGGTAAACATGATAGTCTCTTATTGAGGTAATGGAGTCGGGGAGAGATGCATTGAGCCATGTTTCACAGACAAATATGATGTCGGATTTAGCCATATTTAGTAAGAGGAGAAATTCAGGTATTTTATTCACAAGGCTTCTTGCATTGAGTAGCTTGCATTTAAGGCCATTTGTAGTTTGAATTGAGGTAGTTAGGGGCGTGCGTGCCTAGTCTTGGGTAATGGTGGATTGGTTGAAGTAGGGTTGAATGTTGGGTTGAGGGTTGTGTGACTTAATTTTGATATAGTCAGCACGGTAGTCAGTGTACAGTTTGCAAAACATTTCTTCAGATAAGCCAGCTATCAGGATAGGGATTACTTTTTCTAAATGTCAATAGCAAATAAGGGTGTGCAAACTTCAAAAACAATTCCAAATAAGTGTTATGGGTCTAGCACCCATGTCAGTTCAATAATGTTCATGCTATTCATTAAAACTGTCCCCTTTTTTCAGTCTTTTGTATGTGTCTTAGAAGAAGATACAACTGCTTTAAGTACTGCACTTTCGAGGGGGAAATTTAAAGCAGCAGCATCTTTTGTTCAAGCTTTCATTAAAGCCAGATTGCTGTAATGCAGGGGTCTCCAAACATGGCAACTTTAAGATTTGTGGACTTCAACTCCCAGAACTCCTTAGCTATGCTGGCTGGACAATTCTGGGAGTTGAAGTCCACAAGTCTTAAAGTTGCCAAGTTTGGAGACTCCTGCTGTAATGAATAGCACAAGATGATGTTGAAAGTTTTCTAAGCAGAGAAAATGATCTGGGAGGCAATCTCTCCAATAAATATACATATTCCAAAACAAGGAAGATCTCACTGAAATGAAATAAATGAAACAAGGACTGGTTTTCTGAGGTTGAAGATAAGCAGAATTTTGCCTGTAATTCTCATCTTATACTCACCTATCCATTTCAACTAATAAATACCCCCCCCCCCCGAATTTATACAAAAACTTGCATAGCTTACCTCAAAATTTATTTCTGGTTCACTGAAGCATGCCATGTAACTATTGTCAACCTATGGATATATACTTTTGTTAAGCATGAACAAGAACTAGATAATACTAATTCTAAGCTTTCTGACATATTCGGCCCTTTAATTCCTAATTAAATCTATACTTTCACCACATACATCATCTCCTCTCCACTTTTATTTAGATTTATTACAACCCCTTCTTTCTCTTAATGTTACAGTGTGGAGGAATATGGAGATGGCCTTGAATAAATTATTCAACATGAGCTTAGCCGTTAGAGGCAGGAGGAAGTGAAGAAGACAAGATTGCTCTGTTTTGATCCTCTTGGTATCAGGAAACAAGACAATCCCTTTTAAGATTCTGCTATTATCACCTAAAATAGTAGTGTTGCAGTTATCCTTGGGTTTCATGATCTCAAAGGACATGAAATAGCAATAGCAATAGCACTTAGCAATAGCACTTAGATTTATATACCATTTCACAGTGCTTTACAGCCCCCTTTAAGTGGTTTACATAATCAGCATATTGTCCCCAACAATCTGGTCCTCATTTTACCCATCTTGGAAGGTTCGAAGACTGAGTCAACCTTGAGTCTGGTGAGATTCAAACTGCCAAATTGCAGTCAGCTGGCAGTCAGCACAAGTAGCCTGCAGTACTGCATTCTAACCACTGTGCCACTGTGGCTCTTAATAGGAGAATTGCCATGGTAGTCTATGATTGCAAAAAATGAGGAATCCAGTAGCACCTCTTCCAACTTGCACATTTATTCAAAAGCATAAGCTTTCATCAATTGCAGTTCACTTCATCAGATGCATAGAATGTAAATTAGTGAGAAAATAAATGGCCTAAGACACATGCCATGGTAAGTCCCTGATGGAAGAAAGTTCTATTTAGATAAGAGTGAGCAACCTTCTACTGGCCATCGAACATGCAGGGTGGACCCTTGTGGATATAGCAATAGCACTTAGATTTATATAACACTTTACAGTGCTTTATAGCCCTCTCTAAGCAGTTTACAGAGTCAACATATTGCCCCCAAAAATTTGCATCCTCATTTTACCCACCTCCGAAGGCTGAGTCAACCTTGAGCCTGGTGAGATTGCATTGCCAAATTGCAGGCAGGCAGCAGAAGTAGCCTGCATACCACTGCATCACTGATAGGACTTTATTGTTTTGCTTTGTATTTAACTCCAATATGCTTACAAGATACTTATTTTGATTTTTCTACCTCCAAAAGAAACAGTTTGCCAACAGTTTTAACAATTCTTGTCACGAAGGGGTTCGGGGAGGGAATATAAGGAGCTGCGGGCTGTCTTCTCCAAAGTTAGTAGTATTAGAACTGTTGCCATAAAATGGGATTAGGAATCAGAAAGCTGACAGAACTACTGTAATTTTTAGTTTCTTAAAACTGAACTCCAGTTGTTTGAAATATGCCTAAGAAAGCCAATGCCACTTTCTCATAATTAAACCAGTTTTGGAAAAGAAAGATGAATTGGAATTGAGAGAAGTTGGCAGAAGTATTTTCTTTTTCTCCCTACCTAAGTGAAATTACAAACATGACTAAGAACTAAAAGATTCCCCGGAGCTAAACTTGTCAAAATGCAAAACCAAAAAGCAATAACAGAAGCCGGGCAACTAATCTGGGCATTGAAGTCAATGCAGATGCCAAAACTGACTCTTTGATATTGAAAGACAAATTGAATCCTTAGGTTTTAAAGCTCCAATCTGGATTTTCACCTAGATTTCCAAGGGATGTTCCTGACTGGTTAATATATTACTTGGGGGAAAAATGTGTGTTAAAATAACTAGATGTACTTCTCAAATGCTTTGTTGCAAGAAAGATTATCTGAGATATTTAGGAGAAATAAATAATCTGTTATTATTCTAGTGTTCCTTGTAGATATTGGAACAAAATGTAAGATGATATGTTCAGAGTGTGTAAATCACATAGCAAGCATTCACAAAAAGCAACATTTGGGTTTTCTATTTGGAAACTCTGGCATGTTAGAAAAATTCTTTCCATCTTATGAGTGCTTTGCTTTGTTGATATAATTTATATACCAGTCTTCCTCCTGGAATGAATGGCAATGTAGAGTATGTAGCATTCCTTTTTTTTCCACAGCAACAGCCAGCTGTGTTAACCTGGACTTAGTATCTTGCCCAAAGGCACTCAGTGCACTTCCATGGTGGTGATTTATCTTACTTCAACTGATGTAGCAACATGTAGCATAGTGCATAAAACTCATAGGAACAACATAAGGTAATGTGGCGACCCAGGGCATGGCACAAAGGCAACCCAGCCAGAGAATAAGTATTGGCCCCTTTATTAGCTCCAACGTTGCCCCCAATCTCCCAGTTACTTTTAGGTCTGGAGAAAAAACTCTCCTACCAACCTGCAATAGCCTTTGGCTGCAAATATTCCAGTCCAAACATTGTAAACAGAAACTTTAAACTATAAATCCAACAAGTCAAGATAAGGTAATAAATCTGGCAGGGTAAGATAAGGAGTTCCAGAAGTGAAGTAACACGGAGGTAAATCAAACCAGTCGGGAGGATGCCAGGAACTCAGATAACAACAGCCAACAGTAGATAAACTCAACATTTGTTCCCAATAAACGCCCCTCCCATCTGCCTCTCCTTTAAACTCCATCCCCAGGTGTGCCTTGTGAAGGGAATCAGGGCCCTTTCCTACCTCATAAGCCACACAACCCACATTTCTCTGTTCTTCCCTTGGTCTTCCTCTGAACCCCCATCCCTTGTTCTACCTCTCTCCTGCTCTACCCAGCTTGACTTTGCCCTTACTCATTTTCCTCCACAGCCAACGGAGCCACTCTGCTGCTCCCTGTCAGCTGTTCATCTTCCTCCTTGGATTCAGACTCCAATGGGGGTATGATGGGTATCCTTGACTTATGACCACAATTGAGCCCAAAATTTCTGTTGCTAAGTGAGAATTTGTTAAGTGAATTTTGCCCCATTTTACGACCTTTCTTGCCACAGCTGTTAAGTGAATCCCTGCAGTTAATAAGTTAGTAACACAGTTGTTAAGTGAATCTGGCTTCCCCATTGACTTCGCTTGTCAGAAAGTCGCAAAAAGTGAGCATGTGACCCTGGGACAGCGCAACAATCATAAATATGAACCAGCTGCCAAGAGTCTGAATTTTGATGACATGATCGTGAGGATGCTGCAAAAGTTGTAACTGTGAAAAACAGTCATAAGTCACATTTTTCAATGCTGCTGTAACTTTGAATGGTCACTGAATGAATTGTTGTAGGTTAAGGACTACCTGTATAAAATATGTATCAAGATATAAAACACCAAACCAGTGAATTATTTTAAAATCACACCGTACGAGTGATGAATAAAATTATGACTAAAGTTAAATTTTGTGTGAGCAGTTACTGGGGTGCAATGTAAGCTAGCTTCATCCTCACGGTACACCCCAGGCAACATGACTCTTCAGTTAAATAGTCTACACATTCTGACTGCTGGACCTCAGAAGGATCTCCCAGGGAGAAGAAGCAGCATGAATATCAAAAATGAAAAGAACGATTCTCTTCAGAACCAACTGGCAAAAGATATAGAGGATGTCCTGAAAATTGTACAACTTAATATGGAAGGTATGAGCAGGGCTAAAGCTGATTATTTACGTAGGCTTATGAATGCTGGCTGGTAGTGAAGAGCTCCCAGTTTTAGCCACCACACCACACTGAGTCATATAGTTTAAGGTTCCACACATCCAGTGATGGGATTCAAAAAAATTTATTACCGGTTTTGTGGGCGTGGTTTGGTGGGTGTGGCATGGCTTGGTGGGCATGGCAAGGGAAGGATAGTGCAAAATCTCCATTCCCACCCCACTCCAGGGGAAGGATACTGTAAAATCCCCATTCTCTCCCCACCCCACTAACCTGCTTTCCAGCTCCGATCTCCTGTGCTGGGAAACAAAAGAAGACTCAGCTGATCAGCTGGGACTCGGGAGACAGAGAATAGATAGAGGTGGAGCCAATTAGAGGTGATATTACAAACTACACAAAATTTCCACTACAGGTTCTCCAGAACTGGTCAGAACCTGGTGAATACCACCTCTGCACACATCTAAAAACAGAGTGCAAATATTGCAAGTTTTTAAAAGTCTATTACAATTTGGAAGGATGAATCAATATCTCCTCCTTTAATTTAGAGACAAACTTAATCTTATTTAACATTAAAGTATACAGCTGTCTTTCAAGAGAAAATTGCAAATTACTAAAAGCGATTGCAGGAAGGGAAAAATGAGTGAAGCAATAGCGAAAATTTATAGCTTCATGAAGCAGGAACTAAATTGGTTACTTGTTTTAATAATTAATGTCACCAACTACCATCTAAGTGATCTGTATTTCTCTGTA